ATGAAGGATAGTTGGGGAATAATTAGATATTTCAATGCTATTTTATCTCCTTAAGACATAATTAATGGAAATAAAGTCACTGATGATGAAATTAAGGATTTAAAAGATTGTATGACTAGTTGTGAGCTGGAAGAGATTCTAAGTGAGGGTAGTTAGTAGGGCAGTTACTACACATGGTGCAATAAGTAAGAACATGGGAGTATAATCTATTCTAAATTGGATAGAGCCCTTTGAGCCGCCCTTGATTGTACCCAATTTGTACACGTCAAGTTTGCATCTTCATTTTGTGCCAACTACGGGTTGATGCTAAAAGGGTTGGTATCTATTATCTAAACTCTCTATTAATCTTTTAATATAATTAGGCACATTATAAGATTTGTTTAGCACATTTTAAGCATTCCTCGAGATCAACTATCCATAGATGTCACGTTGAAAATATTAACGGGGTTGTTGGCGAAACTAACATATTGTTCGCACATGTATATACGAAATCTTGCATAATAAACCATTCTAGTGAATCTAAAGTCATACATAAGTTTGGGGAACTGACTTGAGATTCGATGGAACAATGCGGAAACGGAGGTTGAAGTTGCAAATCGCGTCACTCTCATCACATCTCGACTTGTCTCCATAATTTAGAAGTATCTCCCTCGTTACATGTCGAAATTATAAACCATTTAACTTGGTACTTAGATAATACGTAGATATACAACTTTTGTGTTCAGCGTATTCCAAAAAAACATATAGAAGATGGTGAAAAATACCTTCCAAGTTGGGTGTAGGTTGTGTCAAGAAAATTCAGCTCCACTTATAGACTTGACGATATCAACAGCCAATCCGAGAGCTTTTTCTCCTTCTTCCTTGAGTTGTTTCTAGGTGTAGGTATAACGAGTATTACGAGAGCATTAGAATGAGTATAATATTGATAGGACTGAAGGCTAGACTCTTATCTTGAGTATTCTTACAAAACTCCATTAATGGAGGAAGGAAGTTTGAGGAAAAAGATGACCAACTTGCAGGGACTTCATAGGTGTTTGACTTGATTACAACGAGACATTTACCCCGGTGGCGAAATTAACTACTGTGCGGATATTTTTAGCTGTTACAGCTGCTAAGGGTGAGAGTTACATCAAATCGACGTTCCCACTGCATTTCTGCACGGAGATCTTCAGGATGAGGTTTATATGTGCTTGCCACAAGGTTTCTCGAACTCTTCTTATATGGTGTGTAGACTCAAGAAATCTCTATGTGTATTGAAACAGGAACCACGATGCTGGTTTGCTAAGTTGTCAATTGAGACGCTATGGTTTGTTCAGTCCATTTCTGACTACTTGTTCTCTTTTGTATGGAAAACGGGAGTGATTTATGTTTTGATATATGTTGATGATTTGATCATTGCTGTAGATAACGCGGGAATGACAACCAAATTCAAATTGTACTTGGCTAATTACTTCCATATAAAGGATTTGGGAACTTTGAAGTTTTTTTGGGTATTGAAATGGCTTGAAGCACGTATGTGATTTTTCTTTGCCAACGGGCCGGGAGTATGCCTTAGACATTATCATTGAGGCCGGTTTGTTGATTGCCAGGCCTTTGGGCACACCAATGGAGCCCAATCATCATTTGGCTCGTTCCCAAGCTCCTGTTCTTGCAGATTAGGAATCTTTTGAAACACGGGTTTATCGTGTTTTCGTACTAAAGCCATGTTCGTTTTTATGACAGGTTTTGATAATGCCAAACCGCCGTGAACGAGACAAGTTATTGAATATACAAGGCGAGAAATAAATATAAGAAGAAAGCAAGAGAACAAGACCCAAAAGAAGACCAAGAACGAAGACCGTAGTCTTAGTGTTGTTGAGTCGGTCATAATTGTGATCAAGACCGACCCAACCTTTACACCTTGGCTCTTTAAGCTAAAATTCTTTTCATTACATNGAAACATTGTGACTCTTGCATAGCTTTGATAGAACAAGTTGCTGAACTAGAAAACGCGGTGAAGAAATTTAATAAACCACATAAGGATCTTAATCTCGTTTTTGATTCTATGCAATACACTAAACAAGGAATAGGTTTTGGGAAGATTGATGAACCTAAAAATAAAGAAAAAGTTGAGCACAACCGTAAACCACCTAGAGCTCAACCTAAGAAAGATAAAAATAAAAATACTCCCTCCGTCCCTCATAGATCTTCTCAATAGCCCTTTTTCATTGTCCACAATAGATCTTCTCATTTCATTTTTTTACAATTAAAATACCACAACTACCCCCACTTACTTTATTTATTACACCTCACCCACCTCATTTAATACACTCCACCCATTTTTTCATTAAGGGTATTATGGTAAACTTTCACCTTTTTTCAACTCTACTTAAAAACCACCAAAAGTCAAAATGAGAACATCTTAGGGGGACGGAGGGAGTAATAGACAACCTAGACAAAAGGTTAGTCATGAACACGAGCACTCTAGGCAACCTAGGAGGAATTATCAAAATGATTTTATGGACACAAATGATTTTTCAAATAGACAAAATAATGCTAGAACACCTAGAAGAGAGAATCTTCAAAATACCCAAAAACCAATATTTTCTCAAAATAGGATGAAAATGGTTACACCCCCTAGCAATTACCAACCTAGGCATATGTTCAACCCAAATGTAGTATGCCATTATTGCAATAGGGTAGGACATATAGCTCCCATGTGTTTCACTAGACATAGGCACTTGACCTTTAATGAAACACACACCATATTTAGTGCTGACGAAAAGAAATCCTTTGAAAAGGATATTCGAATCATAAACAATCTCCACAGGATAGTGCACAAAAGAAACCGTATTATTTCTTATACTTTGACGAAAAGAAGAAAGTTCACATTCCGTTACCGGAACCAACACAGACCACACCGAGATATCGGCACTCCGTTCGGGTAGACTGGAACCCGCCAACCACTAGACAATGGGTTGGCCAAGGTAACTCCTAAACAATCATTTAATTGTGTGTGTGTGTGTGTGAATTTTGGGTGTGTGTGGGGGCAATAAAGGTCAACTAACCCCCAAGGACCCATAGACATACTTTGGGTACCAAAGTGTTATTCTTTTTTGCAGGGACGGTTCAAAGTGAAGAATTCTGGAAATCAGGGGGAACCAGCGATGGGTGGGCAATACCATTGCTCGGAGGGAAGTTTTCTTTTTTTCAAAACCCCTCTTCCCATCGATGGGTGCTTCTTCCCATCGATGGGTAATTGACTCTATTTTTTAAAAACCTTTTAACGGATTTCCAGAAATACCTTACCCATCGATGGGTATTTCATTCCATCGCTGGGTGAAGGACTTTTGTCGAATTTTTTTTCAAGAAACACCCTACCCATCGATGGGTCTCTTATCCCATCGCTGGGTGAATGATTTCAGCTTCAAAAATTTTTTCAGAACCTCCCCACCCATCGATGGAAACTTTCTCCCATCGCTGGGTGTTTGACACTATTTTTTTAAGCGTCTTGTCGGATTTCCAGTAGCCACCTTCCCATCGATGGGTGAGTTCTACCATCGCTGGGAAGGCAGCCTTGTTTTCTACTCACTTTCTAAACGCTTCAACAATGGCCAGAGGAAAGTCAAGGACCAAAACCGAGGTTTCAAAGAAGAAGGCCAACACCGATGCCACGACATCTTCCTTATTTTCTCCTTAGTAAATATGATTGTATTTTTACCCGTTGTATTCTGCATTTCCCTTTTAATGAATAAAAGTTTACTTTTAATTCTTTTTGTTAATGTCAAAAGGGGGAAGATATAAAGGTTATGCATAGATTGAGGGGGAACTTTTTCTAAAACTAACTCTTATTCAACACAAAAACTTTGTTGAAAAGAAAATCGCATTTATTAAGGGGGAACATTTTTTAAGTCTCAAATCAACCCTCCTATGCATAACCCCGTCTTGTTTGCCATTATCAAAAAGGGGGAAATTGTTGAAACACGGGTTTATCGTGTTTTCGTACTAAAGCCATGTTCATTTTTATGACAGGTTTTGATAATGCCAAACCGCCGTGAACGAGACAAGTTATTGAATATACAAGGCGAGAAATAAATATAAGAAGAAAGCAAGAGAACAAGACCCAAAAGAAGACCAAGAATGAAGTCCGTAGTCTTAGTGTTGTTGAGTCGGTCATAATTGTGATCAAGACCGACCCAACATAATTGGTTTGGGCTCTTTAGGCTAAAATTCTTTTCATTGAATTTCACACATCATAAAAATGTTTTTCAAACATGTTTAAAACATTAAAAACACTTGGTGTTCGCCCAAACCAAAAATCAAGCCATCCGGCGTTCGGGTTTCAGAAACCGGCGTTCGGCATTCGGTTTTCGGCGTTGGTTTTTGGCGTCCGAACTAACCAAGTGGTTTTCAACTTTTTATGATTGGTTTTTACTTCTGGGCACATTTAAATAGTTTTCCACCAAAAA